TTTATGAACTTAGTACAAAGATGCTCTAGGACAATGTACAAACCTAATTAGTTTGGGGTAAAACTCTGTTCATATTATTTCCCCAATTAGCATAATAATTCATAATTTTTTGGTTCTAATCACATTTCAATTAAACTTGGTACATAGAGTTTTTGTTACATTGCGCAGACCTCATTAGTTTTACAATCAAATCTGTTCATGTTAATTTTCTGATTTGCATAATTAGTTTTCAGCTAAGTAATTTCAAATTATATTTAATGTGTCTCCAATACTCTCAGCACATGGGAGTTCTTTCTAAGCTTTCTTTGATTCTAATAAATATACAAGTACTAGTCATTAACCTACATAGAAGAGAGAAATGAAATCAAAAATGACAACATAGAAATTCATCATTTTGGGCTGATTTGCATTAATAGCTGTAATTTTCAATCTTTTTTCTCAGATTTTTAGTAAAACTTTTTTTGACTTTAGTCAATTTAGTGTCAATTTGCAACGAAAAGGTGACTATATGAACCTTAGTTTTCACATTGCATTTTATGTGATTTGTAGGCTCACTTTGCCTATGCAATTGTGTCAGAAACGATATTTTGGTAAGATTTTGTCATCATTATGTGGTTATATTTAAAAAAAAAAATGTTGAAAATCAGTTATCACTTTAAGTAGAAAAATATTCCCAAAATATCGATACATGTATGTTGGGTTACCGAAAACGCAGGATTTGTTTTACTAGTATTTTGCCTTATCACCAATGCTGAGAATTATGTACAGTTCTCAGTTTACAACTTCCTTTCCATTCACAATTAAAAAAAATCTTTTTAATATGTTCTCAGATTGTTGCATATTGATCCAGAATGACCAATCCATTAGCAGAAAGCATTCAGTACTTTCTGTTACTCACTCGGAAGCTAATTTGGTAAGTGGTGTATATTGTTGTTTGTGATGATTTTTTCGTAAATTGTCCTGTGATACCTAGCCTGGAACCGTGACTATGAAGTGATTTTTTTTTTTTAACCAGTCACATGTACAAAGACAAGCTACTCTGACGATGAAAGATTGTTCCAAGTATGGTACATTTCTAAATGGATGTAAAGTAGACAGTGGATCGTCTAATACATTGAAGCATGGTGACATCATTGTATTTGGTTCCCTCAAGTCAAACGAATGGAAGTACGTACAGCATACATTCCCTAACAGCAGTTGTTGCTAACCATTATATTTCCCTCCCAGCCACATGTTTTCACTTATTTTTGACGAGTTGATTGTAAAATATAGGAAAAAAGGTATATTCGCTGGATTTTATTTTCACTGAATCATCCCTTCAGCAAAAATCGTGAAATTAAAGTAAATTCTAAGCGTAAATAAAGTGTTTTACACTACCCTAAATATCAGTTGGACATTCAGTCAGCTGAATGCCATGTTGGTTTACAACATTGGCAGCTACTTGTAACACACACACAATGTGACTTGCGTTATTCAGAAATGTTGTGGCCGGTGTATTATCAGCACCCATGAGTGGTTTAGTTAATTAATTGTAGTTGCTGCATTATTTTCAGAGTTTGTTACCGACCATTGATTGTCTGTAGCTCCTGCTTGGATAGCACCGAAAAGAAGTTTGTGAAATCGAAGCTGGTTAAACTTGGCGGCCATATGGTCAACGAGTGGACAAAAGACACTACATTGCTTATTATGAGTAAACTCAATGTCACTGTTAAGGTACAATAGTATCAATACATTCATGTACTTGATCCCTTCACCTCTTGACCTATAAAGTCAAAGGTCACCATGCATCCCAGAGAAACCCATATTGAGAAATTATTACGCATATATTATATTTATAACAGATCTTAGACACAAATGCCTACTGAAATATCGTTAAGAACAAATAAAGCCATATATACTATTTCATTCACTCCTATCATCGTATCCATGGTTATCAATATAACAATGATATTTGGAACAGTAGACATGATGACGATGAATGAAAAACTAAGGGGGACGTGGTTCTTTCACTCTCATCAGATTCTCTGCACCCATTCTCATCTAAGGTTGATTTTTTTTTTATTTCACTATACAAACTCTAAATTTGCTGATAGTCTTTGATGTTTTGAGTATCCTGTATCCTCGGGGGCGGACATCCGGGCATTTTCACCGCTTGGCAAACCTGGCGGTGAAAACAAAGGCCAAAAACTCGCAGAAAACGGTACTTTGGGATGGTTGTTGAGACTCCCCTGAACAGTGTAACAAGATTAGCCCTATGTGTGTAGCATATATAAGTTTGGTTGTTCAGGATTACTTCAAAGTTGAGTTTGTGTTGTTTTCTCGAATTTTCACCGGCTCGACCGGCGTTCCACAGTAGCGCGCACAGAGCCCATAGAAATGCATGTACAGTGGTGCGCGTCTTAGCAACGTGGAGCGTCTTGTGACGTAGCTCCGCCCCCGACGGATAGTGGCTGTGGGAAGACACTAAGTGTTGGACAATTTTTCTTACAGGTTATAACCGCTCTCATACTCTGCCATCCGATAGTCACTCCACAATATTTGGTGAACTTAATTGACGCTATGGAAGGCAAAGCAGACATGCCTACTCCTAAAAAGTGAGTAGAAAGTATTTAAAAGTATTGTAAATGCATTAATTATTAATAGGTTTTTAATTTTGTGGATAATCTATAATCTTCTAAATCATATTCACATGAATGTGTAAAATAACAATAGAACTTATTGTTTTCCTGCCAAATTCTTGAACTTAAAATCCTATAAATATACTCTGAATAGTGAGAAATAAATGCCAGTGAAGATACAGTAATTGATTGTATTGAATGTTTGCATAACTGTTGTAATGTCATAACCCATAAATTTATGCAAATTTAACTTAAACCATGCAGGTTTCTTCCAGTCTTAGTTGATGCTGCGATCAAGAATGATGATGTCTCATTTGCAGCTGATGAAAGACGAAAACAAATATTTAAGAATAAGACTTTTATTTTCCTGACACAAAAACAGTTCAAGAGATTGAACTTGACAGTGAGTTTTGGTGGAGGCAAGGCTATTCTGATGGAGGAAGGGAGTGATGACGACGATGATGATATTCTTGTCACAGACAATACTTGTGTAATGTCTGCTGACCCTCAAGATAGTTCACAAAAGCTATCCCAGAATGCCAAGGACTGGATTTCACATGTCATGGACTACCTTAAAAAGTAATTTGTCTTGTGTTACTATGATTTGTTAGCTGGGGTCTATTTTTGTTTATTTTCTGATAGCTGAATATCTCTCCATTATCAAATTTATTTTCAATTCTATTCAATCAGAATAATTCAAATTTAAACCTACTACCGTATTTATCCAGGTAAGAGCCATGGTCCTGAACATGGTAAATTGACAAAAAATGGGGGTGGGCCTATGCTCGAACATCTTCTGCAAAAAAAACACATGAAAATTAACAACATGCAGATCGAACTGCAGCAGGGAATAGAATGGCAAAAGAAAACATGAGATGGAAATAAATGAACAATATGCAATTAGAAGTAAAACAAAAATAATTTATTGCTTATAATGTGATAAATAAACCAGAAATAATAGAAATCAACAGTAAGGAATCATTTGAATTAGGAATGTTTCCTATAAAAAAAAAACCCATTACGTGTTACCTCAAAATGAACTAAAATGTCAGGCGTTAAAATTATTTCCAGTTTTTACAAATACCGGATCAACTGTCATACAAGATCAATAATAATTTACCTGAAAAATTACGAAAGTTCATAGTTGTTTGAAAAAAAATTCTCAGTTCTCTATTTGTACGTTCTTTGCCAGCTTCGTCAATGTCAAAACTCTCAAAGCCCAAGTCAGTGTCACTGTTGCCGTCGAACAAAATTCCTACAGTTTTGTCCTGAAAAAAAAA